ACTCCCTCGGGGAGAACGGCCTTGTGTACTGGCATGGCAGATCTGGTCGGCTAGAACCACGTATCTGTGTTCCCCCTCCACTGGACAGCTCCGCGTCCAGGCTGTAGCAGAGTTCCATGACTAGGCAGTTGCCGGTCATATGGGCTTCCACAAGACGCTGGCTCGTGTTTGCCGTCTATACGTCTGGCCGAAGTCCAAGGACTTCGTCAAAGCCTACATCCAGGAGTGTCCTACCTGCCAGGAGGTGAACAGTAGGAACCACCTTCCGTATGGGTTACTTCAGCCCTTACCCATACCCGAGGGTCGTTGGCAGTCCATCTCGATGGATTTTATTGGTCCCCTCCGCCCACCCACTCAGCGTGGTCATGATGCTATCTTGGTCGTCGTTGATCGCTTCACGAAGCATGCACGTTTTGTTCCGTACCGCTATCGCATTAGCGCTCGTGAGGTCGCCGACATCGTCTTCGACCGAGTCATGAGAGATCACGGCTTACCTCAGAGCATCATCTCCGACCGTGACCCGCGCTTTACCGGCACATTCTAGCGACGCCTACACGAGGTGTACGGATCCCAGCTCCGTTTCTCATCGTCTTACCACCCTCATACGGATAGTCGGACTGAGGTCACCAACAAAACTCTCGGTAATATCCTCCGAAAGTTTGTTAGGGATGACCAGCAGTGGGACTTACACTTAGCCCACGCGAAGATTGCGTACAACCACGCTGTTTCGCCAGCCACGGGGATGTCGCCATTCTATTGCGACCTCGGCTACCACCCTCGCGTACCCGCGGATTTCCTACGACCATTGCGGTTGCGCCCAGACACTCGTTGTCCTGCGCTTGACGACTGGATCGCACACATGGCGGCGATTATGAAGCGCGCACACGAGAGTTTAGCCGACTCCCAGACTCGCATGGCCGCACGAGCGAACCGATCACGAATGAATCATCCATTCAAAGTCGGTGACGATGTGCTCGTTGATGCACGCCACTTATAGTTCGAAGCAGATACGCTTCGCAAGTTTAGGCATCGTTTCTTCGGTCCATGCCGCATCCTTCAGGCCGTCGGTTCTGATACTGCCGCTAGTCCAGTCAGCTTCCGTGTGAAGCTACCTGACTACCTTCGACAGGCTCGCGTACACGATGTTTACCACGTTTCCTTACTGCGTCCTTATCGCAGACCGTCCGAGCGCTTGGTCGGACGCCCTTATGAGCGCCCTCCACCTATCATGGTGGACGGTCATGAGGAGTTCGTTGTTTCCGACATCGTATCACACCGAGTTACCGACGATACCCCTCCACGCATCGAGTACCTTATGCGTTGGAAGGGCTACCCTGATGAGGAGGCTACTTGGGAGCTCCTCGAGCACTTGCAGTACGCCAGGATGTTGGTGCGTACATATGATCATGCTCGTCGTGTTGAGACATCTGCTTCTACTCAGTTGACTGACCCTCTTCCTCCTCCTCCTCCGGCTGAGGAGATTGTTGAGGACGCGCCCGCTCCCTCTGAGGTCGTTCCTCAACCGCAGACGGTCGCCTCCGAGTGTCCACAGCGCACTCATCGTCGCCCTTCGCGTTACGATGACTGACACTCTTATCCTTTATCTTTCCCCACTGACTCACACCATCAGGTACTCCATCATCATCTCTTCTTCAAGATGTCAGCGTTTTGCGGCTCTGCTTCGACATCGGCTCCACTGCTACTTCATCGACATCATCGACTACTTCGACGACTTCAACTACTTTGGACGTGACTACTTCACGTCACCACCCTACCCTGTATACTCCCTTGCCCCTGTCGCATGATGGTTCTCACTTAGCTGGGTCTCTTTGAGTTTGGCTCTCCCTTGGTATTGCATAGGCATTGGGACCGTAGCGTTATCTTGGCTTCCTTGCTCCCAGATCTAGCTCCCTCTCCCAGTCGGTGAGTTGTGTGCATGTTTCCCTCACCCACTGCCCTCATCACCCTAGCGTCGGCTATTGCATGCCTCAAGTTCGGCATAGCTCCACCCTATTCCAGGCTCCCCTTTTCATGGTCGACCCTGCATGGTGTCACCCTTTTGTCGAGCATTACCCGCCTTGATGGTCTATCTGTTAGGGTTATTGGTTTTGTTTCGCTACCACTCTCCCACCTTGAGCCTGATGACCTATCCCACCTTCATGTGTGACTGCCCTTAGGAGTTTCGATTCTTAGGCTGCATTCACCCCCTCAGAGACCATCCCACTCTTAGTGGTTCAGCGACATGACATTATCTTGTGACATATTGCTCTTTTCCTTTCATCACTGAGGCCACTACCTCCGGGACTTTAGGATTGTATCATACTACATTTCATTTTCTGTTGTTAGCTAGGATATGTATACCAGACATTTGTTTTTCTCTTGACATTATGTAGCTTAGGCTGCATCGCATGGACTCCGCATGGAGCTTGCTCCGCATCCTAGATTTCTCAGCTTTCTTTATTGCAGAGTTCCGCTGCTTTTGCGAATAGCGTGTTTATGGCTCTTGCGATCCATTACAGGTCTGAGGATCGTTCAGCGGGCCTTCATCTGCCTTGGCCCACAGCCAGGGCCTATTTGGCTATTTGCCAGTTCGGTCGGTGGGACCAGGTCGTGGCCTGACCCCACAGGCCGTGTGGTTATTCAGTCCAGTCCAGTTCTATCCGGTACCACTGTCGGTACCAGGCCAGTCTAGTCCAGTCCAGTCAGTCCGCTTGGGGTATACCCCAGTTGCAGTTTGTTTTGTGACTCATTCTTCATTTGCACAGATTGGAGTACGTGCGTGTTGAGTCTGCGTTGGAGCTGCGCTGTCCCTTCCAGCTCCATCTCCATCTCCCCCATCCTCATCCCTTCGTCTTAATCCTGACGGACCGCCATCCCGGCGGGTCCGTCACAGTACTGAACAACTAAAATATTTCAAAACTACGTGGCAAATGTTTCCACTCAGTTCTGTTTACTATAGCCTTAATCCGAAAAAAACATACGTAAGTTATATATGTATAAAACCTACGTACGTTATATACAACGGATACGCTATATTCGAATACAATGTGCGTACCTTATACAATGAGTTTTAAGGTACAACATTGCATGAGCTTGTAGTGCCAGACATCATTTTTTTAATTTTATTTTTAATTTGGTTTGAAATTTTTCCAAGACCCTCTGGTAAAAGTTATTTGTATTGCAATTTTGTATAACGTTGTTTTTTTTTTAATGATAAAAAAAAACCCTGCAAAATGCCCTAAAAAAATAGTTTCATTATTGTTTTTATTTTATTTTCAAATTCGGTTGTGAATTTCAACATGCCCTTAGACAAAAGTTGTTTGTATTGTAATGTTGTACAACTTTATTATTATTATTATTATTATTATTTTTTAACTTAAATTAACAAAAATATGAATACAACGTACGTATGTTATATTCGACCGTACGTTCTATTCAGAAAAAAAAATCGTCGATTTTGTAAAAGGTAAGTTGAATAGAATGCACGTACATTTAGTTTGGGTTAGGATAATAGTTTTTGATGGCAATGATTATCATGAAGGAGTAGTAGGGGAAGGACCCTTTTTTTTTAGGCTTTCTCGTGCAGAATGAAAACCTTGGGTGTGGATGGGGACCTAGATAAGCAGAGGTCTACTTTTTGTAGAGGTTATACAATTTTTTCATATTTGGTAAGGCGCAACCACAGATCTGCCGAAAATTTGTGTTGTGGTGGATTTTCTATTCTCTTTTCCATGGCCAGAGACGACCATTTGGGTTGGAGGACAAATGGTTTTTTAGCGTCACGCAATAAGGTTCAGGCCTTGTCTTCGGGTTCAACTAGGGGGTACATGCTCTGAAGACAATTTCCCCCTCCTCGTTTGCGCCCATTTAATGAAGAACCACAAGAACGACCATAAACTTTACACTTCTGCAACACCAATAAGAATATGAGATGTCTAAAATAATTCCCACCGTTGCTCTAAGGATCCGGATCCAACTTTTTAGGCTTTTGTTTTGGGCATCAGAAAAAGTAAGCCCCAACAAGAAGTAGTTCATCAAAAGTGAATAGCAGCGACAAGAACCTCTTTTTTTTTGTTTTTTAACTACACTTATTTTCTCTCGAATTGTTTTTGCTTTTCACTACCTACTTACTACTGTTCCCAAGGCTATATAGAGGGGACCCCTGTAAGAGGGATCCATGTTACCCCCTGCCCCAACAGTGGTAGTCAGAGATGTGGCGGGGCCGATAGGGGTTCGGCTAATGCAAACACTGAGCATGTTGCTAGTAGCTGCACCGCCCTTTTCATCATCCCCCAACGCCGATTGAATAGAATCAGCGTCTAAGGCCAACACTCTCCCACACACCGCACATAACCCACTCACAGTCACACCCATGTTGGCGAAAGATCCCACTCATACCCATCAGTGGTATCAAGGGGACTATCACAACTGGTTGGCACTAAGTATACCGCAGGCAGTTATGGGCCCTGAGCTTAGAACTTCCTACATACCAGTTGTGTGCCTAACCAACTGAGCTAGGCATTTTGCACGGCCCTCAACCGCAAGGTGTCTGTCATAAAATATCTTTTTTGTCAGAGGGGCATTCCGCTCTATTCACATCTTTTAGGGGCATTTTGGCATATATCTCAAGTTATGGGGGTAATTTGCAAACTAACCCATATAAAAATAAGCTATTGCAATCGGACCTTGGAAAAGTGCAAGTACCGGGGCGTTTTGCAAAAGACGGCAGGTCCAACCGACGCAAGGGGTATGTCACAACAGTTTCTTTTGTGAGAGTGGCATTCCGCTCTATTCACATGCTCTAGGGGCATTTTGGCACACATCTCAACTTATGGGGGTATTCGGCAACTTAGACCGTACTTTTTGAAAAGCAGAGGGCCTTGAGTTATTCATCATCCTTTCTGACGGGCCCCATGTAATCGAGAGTTACTTCAGTCATCTGATTGCGGCGGGATTCGAACTGCGGTGTGCTTTGTGGGGTGCTTATCAAAACGGTTCATGGTTTTACCAGCCAGTCACGTGGGCTGGTTTCAGCGCTGGTTGAGGACAGATAGGGGCAGTTGTAGCCAGTGAGAACATGCTGTTCGCTGGACGGTTTCTACAGCCGTTCGTTACCTGTTGCCCAGGGAGGCAGGGCACTCAGTTCTATATCAGCTTTGGTGTCATCTATACCATGTTGGGTGTGATTGTTCACCTCCAATTTTGTCTGAAGCCTGTAATCCAACGTGAGCTTGTCTCAATCCAGTGTGTAAATGAGATGATGGATGGAAGTATACGAAATTCGTAACACGTGTTGTTGAGAGAGAGAGAGAGAGAGAGAGAGAGAGAGAGAGAGAGAGAGAGAGAGAGAGAGAGAGGCAATTCAGGTGTCCTCTCCGAGAGCAAGACCAGGGAATATTGCCACGCGCTCTACAAGAGTGTGGGAGAGAGAGAGAGAGAGAGAGAGAGAGAGAGAGAGAGAGAGAGAGAGAGAGAGAGAGAGAGAGAGAGAGAGAGTTGCAGTCCACGTGTATTGTCCAGTAAGACATCCCCGCTGCCTGGAGTTTGCTGTTAGCTATCTTGTATTGGAACGCGAGTGAGAGAGAGTGAGAGAGAGTGAGAGAGAGTGAGAGAGAGAGAGAGTTGCTGCTTTGAAGACGATGGACGTGACGATGGCGAAGAAGCGGAAGCCTGAGGGTATCGCTTCGCTGATGGTTTACGCTGATGATGATGAAGAAGATGAGCCAGAGGAGGGAGAGGAGGAGAAGGAGCAAGACGATGACGACGACGATGAGGAGGACGATGACAACGAGGAAGAGGAGGAGAAGAGGGAAGGGGAGGATAAACGTGATCGAAGGGAGATACGAATGGGAGAGGAGGAGAAGGGGGAGGATAAAGACGGGATATCAGAAAAGGAGGAAGAAGGAGAAGTTAGTGAAGATGAAGAGACAGATCACATGGATATGGAGGTTGATGACAGCCGACAGGGAGAAGTAGGCGAGAGGGTCGATGCCGATCCCGCCTTGCCACCGATAATAGAAGCCCATGTTCCCACACCATCTCCCCCCCCTCCCCCACCACCTCCTCTTCCTCCCCTTCTTCCTAACCGATCTGTTGAACGAACAGTCACGCCGCCAGCGCCGTCGGTATCCCCATTGTCGCCGAGCGACCAGCCAATATCCCAGCCTCAGACGAGACCTGCTGACGTGTCCGTTCTCGGGATCGTTGATTACGAAGGTGGTGCGTCGCCGGATATGGAGGTACGTTTCCACTCCTCCTTCTCCTCCTCCCCCCTCCCTCTCGTTCTCCTTCTCCTCCCTCTCCCTCTCCTTCTCCTTCTCCTCCCTCTCCCTCTCTGATTCAACCTAAACTCCTCTATCCTTTCTGCTCTCGATCTTCATAATTCTTGTTCTTTTTCTTCTCCTCTGAATCGTCATCACCATTCTTTCTCCTCTTCTTCTCCTTCTTCGACGATGTATCTTCATCACGTCCTCTCTTTCCCTCTTCTTCTTCTTCTTCTTCTTCTTCTTCTTCTTCTTCTTCTTCACTCAGACCGTGAGGAAGGATAGCTTGGTGGGGCGTCAGGCATAGAAAAGTGCAGAATGCTCACTGAAGAAGAAGATCCGAGTGCAACCCGATCTAGACGCGCGTCGGCGAATGTGCGCGGTGCTGTATCCATGCGGAGTTACACTGCTGATCGTGAAATGCCTATGTGAAATGCTGCTGGCCCATGTTCTCACTATAGCTTGGTGGGGCGTCAGGCATAGAAAAGTGCAGAATGCTCACTGAAGAAGAAGATCCGAGTGCAACCCGATCTAGACGCGCGTCGGCGAATGTGTGCGGTGCTGTATCCATGCGGAGTTATATTGCTGATCGTGAAATGCCTATGTGAAATGCTGCTGGCCCATGTTCTCACTATTCTTCTTCTTCTTCTTCTTCTGGTAATGAATCATCATCACGTTCTCTCCTCCTCCTCCTTTTTCTTCTTCTTCTTCTTCTTCTCAGAATGGTCGGAATGTTGGGTGGTGCCGTAAGGCGGATCTGGGGAGAAGCCCCCTGAGGAGTGTCAGGTGCGCAGCCTGGCCGAAACGCGTCGGGGAAATTGCGCGTTTTCAACTGAGAACTGTACATGGGGAGAAGTATTGAAATATCTTGTCGATGCGTGTGCAAGAAGCAGTCTATGGCCACTGTTTTTCACTATTCTTCTTCTTCTTCTCCTTCTTCTTCGGTAATGAATCATCATCACGTTCTCTCCTCCTCTTCCTCTTCTTCCTCCTCCCTCTTCTTCTTCTTCGTCTTTTTGGCCGCAAGGCAGAGCTATGTGGAAAGTCCCCTTAAGATGATCGGAGCGTAATCCCCCTTCAGATCGAAACGCGTCGGGGATTGTGCGCGTGAGCTGAGTGGAATAGTGGAAACAGTGGCCAACGCAGGAATATTGGAAACAGCGGCTTGTACTGATGAGCTCTTTCGATGCGTGTACGAAAGGCAGTTGGCCACTGTTTCCACTATTTCACTCTTCTTCTTCTTCTTCTTCTTCTTCTTCTTCTTCTTCTTAGATGACGACAACGAATAATTATCACGTTCTTTTCCGCCTCCTCTTCCTCTTCTTCTGTTCGCATCATCATAGTCCACGATGAATCATCATCTCGTCTACGTTCCCCCTCCCTTTTCCTCCTCCCTCCTCCCTCCTCCTCCTCCTCCATGGAGGAGGAGGAGGAGTCAGTAACGTTCCACGTGAGTTACCATCGTGCGATATTTTTCCTTCTCTTAGGCGAAATTCTTATTAGCCAATGCCAGAGCTCACGGCTTTCCTTCTTAGGTAAGTATGCGCTCCCACCCCTCTGCTTCAATTAAAAACTTCCTAGAGGGGTTCTCTCTGTAACGTGGACGCACACACACAGAGTCTTTATAACGGATACTAACGGGAAAACAAATCACAGAGTCGAAAATAGGAGAAGTAAGAAACGGAAAAAAAAAAAGAAAAAGAAAAAAAGGAAAAAAGGAAAAAAGTAAAAGAGAAAGAGAAAGAAAGAAAAATGGTTTCAGTGGGCAATTTACCTCCTTCCTTCTCCCCTTCAGGGGGAAAAAAAAAGAAAAAAGAAAAAAACTGTTTCAGAGTGCAATTTGCCAATCTACCCTCCCGTGTAACTGTTTCAGTAGATTGGCAAATTGCACTCTGAAACAGTTTTTTTTCCCCCCTTTTTTTCCCCCTTTTTTTTGCTTTTTTTAAACTTAGGGTCGCAGGGGAGAAGGAAGTAGGTAAATTGCACACTGGAATAGTTTTTCCTTCTTTTTCTTTTTCGTCTTTCTTTCTTTTTTTTTCCCTTTCTTTTTTCCTTCTTTTTTTAATTCTTTTGTATTATGATATGCAAGCAGGCAATTCTTACAGCTCAATAGTCACATCATGTATCTTTCAACAATTGTGATAAAAAGGGGTTCAGTGGTTCGTTAACGTTTTTTTTTTTTTTTT